CGGGAAGTTTCATTTACTGGCACGTGAGACTTAAGAATGCCTAAGGTTGAATTTAGAATCTTTGAGTCGCACACGCGCAGAAGATATCCTTGTTACAGTCCATTATTTGGTCAGATTTCGAAGTCAAAACTGACTGATAAAAACTTCAACAGCTTTTTCCAGGCGTCTGTACGCAAGACGAGAGAGTACATGATTGCTGAATTTACATTTATAGAATCGCACACGCACCGGGAAATTCTCGTAGGATTTCGGCTTTCTAGCTCCACCAATTGCTGAGTTGAAAATAACTGACAAAATTGGATCAAAAAGACACATACAAAAACTCTCGACAGTGCACATTTCTACACTCATCAAAGATGAAGGAACGCATAAATTTAGATCATTATGTGTTTTTTCTGTGTAGCGCTATAGCGCTACTATAGCAACGCACATTGTATTCATTTATCTCCAAGCAGTTTTTCTAAATTGTTTTCACTTTCAGTAGGAAGGTTTAGCGACGGTCAAATCAAAGCGTTTGTGAGGCATATGACACGAAACGAGGAAATTTTAAGGAATCCCATAGCAAAAGTTGTTTCGACGCATCTAAACGTAAGCAGTGCCGTGCACTATGTTTCCAAATCCCGTTTTTATGCGTTTTGCTATGCAGCGCTGTAGCGCTGTTACAGCCATCAAAAACGCATATTGTCGAGAGGCTGTCTGTGTGTATGTGTTCGCAAAGCGAGTGTCACCCACTTTCAACTCGACAACCAGAGAAGCTGGGGGGCTGAAATTTCGGATGCATGTTCCTACCCCGTGTGTCATCCTCCCGTTTTGGGATCTCTCCCCATACGCGCCTAAACCTCGCGCACGAGACCCCAGAGGAATTTGTTGGCGGGAAACGATTTCGCGGACCAGGCAACGTAGAAGGCTGAAACTTTGCAGGAGTATTCTGTATGCACGCACGAGGCAAAGGTTTTAAACTCAGCCCTCTAGCTCCCCAACCACAGCCTCGAGGAGGTCCTGAACCCAAAAATCGTTAGCAACTCGGGCCTATCGTAATTGCACGTGCAAATGAACGTGCATTTTTAGCAACTGTGTATGCAAATGAACGTGGATTTTTTGAAACGTGCATTTTTAGCAATTGTATATGCGAATGAACATGGATTTTTTGAAAAACGACCGTTCGGGCAATACAACGTGCATTTTTAGCAATTGTATATGCGAATGAACGTGGATTTTTTAAACGCAGGCTGGAACGCACCAGGCGAGCCGGAGCGATCATGCGTTTTTGCACAAAACTTGAACTAGGTTAA